GAGCTATCATTAGGAAGGTCTCCGAATCCTTTTTGAATCTCTTATTTTGTACCTGAATCACCTCTTGAGGTTGTAGGTTCTAGAACTACACTACCAACTTTGCAAAGACATGTACCTTGTACTGTATGAAAGCTTGTTAAATTTCAAAGGAAAAAACACATTCAAAAGGTATCCTCTATTGATAAGTCAAGTATTTCAGAATTAGGCCAATTTGTTCTCCTTCTAATTAAAACTTTTATTAGAAAAGGTTCAGAACAAGAATTCCTTATAAGTAGAACAAAATACAAACACAAACACAACTAGCCTCTTGAGTGACTTCACACACTTCCCTATATGGATAGCCATGACAACTCTATTTAAGCAGCTATTTTATTGATTTTTTTACAGCAAGGAAGGGAAAGGGATAGAGAGCTAGAAACATCGATGAGAGAGGAACATCAACCAGCTGCCTCCTGCACACCCCTTACTGGGGATGTGCCCGCAACCAATGTACATGCCCTTGGCCAGAATCGAACCTGGGACCTCTCAGTCCACAGGCCGACGCTCTATCCACTGAGCCAAACCGGTTTTGGCTTAAGCAGCTATTTTAATTTTTAACTTGCATTGGCTCAGGAGAAGAGTTCCTAACAAACAAAGACCTGTCATTTAGCAGACAACACTAAAAGTTTTTAAAAACTTTTGGATACTCTCATTTAACAACAGGCATTGTCTTTTAAAAATAAATTTTGCTTAAAAGAAATACTTGCAGTTGGAACTATATTATCTTTTACTGAAAGAGCCTTCCAAGAGATATACTGAGGCCTAAAAACATTGTTACTGATCTTTTATGGGGTCAAAAATTAAAGGATAGAAAGTTGAGAAACTGTTATGGTTGAGTCTCACTCTAAAGAAACAAGTCATAAAAAGACCCAGTGATTTAAAATGAAATCATATAGTTCCTCTCCAAATTTAGATCCCAAAAAATACAGTATGAGGGTAAGAAAATTTTTTTTTTAAGTTTAAGAATCTGTACCAGTGTAGATAGTTTACCGATTCAGGGCACCTAGATGCTAAGAGAGTGCTTTGTGAAAGTCAAATGTTCTCCAGTTATTTGGAAAGCTATAGTTGCCATTTAAAATAAATGTCAAAAGAAGGCAAGAGCATACAATGAAGCAGAGATAGTCTTTTCAATAAATGGTGTTGGGAAAATTGTACAGGTACATGCGAAAAAAATGAAACTAGACCACCAACTTATGCCATACACAAGAATAAACTCAAAATGAATGAAATATTTAAATATAAGATGGGAAACTATAAAAGTCCTAGAAGAAACCACAGGCACCAAAATCTCAGATATCTCTCATAGCAATAAGTTTACCGATACATCTCCTAGGACAATGGAAACTAAGAAGAAAATAAACAAATGGGACTACATCAAAATAAAAAGCATCTGCACAGCAAACCAAACCACCAACAAAATAACAAGAGAGCCACTTCATGGGAGAACATTTTTGCCAATGATACATCCAATAAGGGGTTAATCTCCAAAATATATAGGGAATTCATACAATTTAACAAAGGAAAGACAAACAATCCAATTGAAAAATGGGCAAAGGACCTAAATAGACACTTTCCCAAAGGGACATACAGAAGGCCAAGAGACATATGAAAAAATGCTCAAAGTCACTAATCAACAGAGAGATGCAAATCAAAATGACAATGGATATCATCTCACACCTGTCAGAATGGCTACCATCAACAAATCAACAAATGGCAAGTGTTGGTGAGGTTATGGAGAAGAGGGAGCCCCAGCACACTGCTGGTGGAAATACAAACTGGTGCAGCCATTTTAGAAAACAGTATGGAATTTCCTCAAAAATTAAAAATGGAACTCCCACTTGACCCAGTGATCCCACTTCTAGGAATATATCCTAAGAAATTTGAAACACTCATCAGAAAGATTATATGCACCCTCATGTTCATAGAGCAGCACAATTTACAATAGCTAAGATTGAGAAATAGCCTAAGTGCCCATCAGCAGATAAGAGAATAAAAAAAAAACAAACTGTGGTACATCTACACAGTGGAATACTACATGGCAATAAAAGAAAGAACTCTTACCATGGATGGAACTGGAGAGCTTTATGCTAAGCGAAATAATCCAGTCAAAGAAAGATAAGTACCACATGATCTCACTCATAAGTGGAATATAATGAACAACATAAACTGATGAACAAAATAGATCCAGAGACACAGAAGCATGAACAGACTATTGAAGCTCAGAGGTTAGGTGGGTAGGAAGAGATCAACCAATGAACTTGTATGCATATATGCATAACCCATGGACTGCCCAGACCCTTACTACAGACAATGGGGTAGTAAGGGTCTGGGCAGAGGGGAGGATGGGAGTAAGCTGGAAGAGTTTAATGAAGGAAAAAAAGAGGATCTATGTAATACTTTCAATAAAGATAAAATAATAATAATAATAATAATAATATTAATATTAAATTCAATTAAATGTTAGATTTCTCCATGATCCTGTTCTATCTAAGGGAAATACACAACTGTGGAAAAATAACCGATGACAACTAAAGTTAGCTCAATTATTTAATAAAGGAAGGTGCTTGAAAGTAGTCAACGGGTCTAAGCAGAAGGTATTGCAACAGTATTGGAATGTGTCTTCTATTAGAGGCACAGGTAGTCAAGTAGGATATAAGGCAAAATTATACAGTCATATACATATAATCTATATATACATACTAGAATCCAGGTGCACGAAATTTGTGCACAATCTGTCCCTCGGCCCAGCCTGCATCTTCTCCAATCTGGGACGCCTTGAGGGATGTCTGGCAATCGGATATCCCTCTCACAATCCGGGACTGCTGGCTCCCAACCGCTCGCCTGCCTGTCAGCCTGATCACCCCCTAACCACTCCTCTGTCAGCCTGATCAATGCCTAACTGCTGTCCTGCCAGCCCAATTGCTCCCAACTGCCCTCCCCTGCCAGCCTGGTTGCCCCTAACTACCCTCCCCTGCAGGCCTGGTCACCCCCAACTGCCCTCCCCTGCCGACCCGGTTGCCCTCAGCTACCCTCCCCTGAAGGCCATCTTGTGGTGGCTATCTTTGACCACATGGGGGCAACCATCTTGTGCGAGGGCATGAGGGTCAATTTGCATATCACTTCTTTATTATATAGGATATATAAAAGGCTAAGTGTCCATTGTTACAACCAGTAGCTATGACCTGTACTGACCACAAGGGGGAGGGCTCTCAATGGAGGAGTTGCCATGACTAACACTGGCCATTTAAAAATAAATGGCACCATGAACCTGGCGCTGACAAACCAATACTCGGCTTCCCCTAAGTGGGACACAAACCGCCCCCCCACCCCCCCCCAGCAACACCCCATGAAATCACAGCCAACACTGCTGAGACCCCATGGCACAAAATGTGGCCCACAGCCCAGCCCAGCCCAGCCAGGAAACAATCACTGTGGGCACCAGATAATGACGTCACGTAGCAATGCCCAGCTTCCTCGCCCTAGCGACTAGCCTCCTTAGAGTTCCTTCAGCCCAGGAACACGAGCTGCTTTATAGCCAGGTGCAAACATTTTGCTGCGGCTGGAAAGCTGATCTGCAACACCAATCCTGTCAAATGGATCACAGTCACCAGAATGCAGGCTTTACTGTTGTCTTTAACACCTAGGACAGTGCTTCAACATCTGAGCAGATGTGTAAATAACACACACAGAAGACACAATAGGCCATATAGAATAGTCAATGAATGCCACACCTCAATGGATATGCTTATAGAGATCAATTAGGTCCTATTTGGAGCATGTGAGTTTGAGCTACCACATAGGATTTGGTAAAAATAGGCATTAAGTGGTTAATATGAAGAATGCACCCTAGAAGATTAGAATGGAGATACAAAGTAGCAACTTTCCTTCCCCAAGTCCAAAACACTGGACATACTTGGGATCAATCCTCTCCTAGGGAGAAGGCAGGTATTATTTTGGTTCTCTATCAAGAGGCCAGCGCATATGAAAATGAATGTTAAAGGCAAAAAATAATCCAAATACCTTGATTCCTAATAATTAGGGTTAATTTTAGGGCTTAGAGCATCTAAAGGAAAATCATGTTTTCACTAGAAGTAAAATTGAAGGTTAATTCTTTCTTGTCCTTCCCTCTATGAATAAAAGGTCTCAATCCTGAAAGATGGATATCCTGAGGAGTGGGGAGTACAAAAAGGTCATCTCTTAATTTTAAAACTGAGTATTCTTATGAAAGTTCCCAAAGCTTGTTGATGATATGTAAGGGTCTCAATTTGAAATAAAGGGATACAAAAGCATTTATATTTGTAACAAAGATAAAAATCTGTTTAAAAGTAAGTTTGTTTTTACCATGTGAAGAGCTTCTCTTCTTTTTTTTTTTAATGCATATTTTATTGTTGATAATAGTACAGATGTCTCCCATTCCTATTCCTCCGCTTTACTTCTCTCTAATCTTTTGAACTGAAAGGCGTAAGACCCTGCCTAAGTTTGTCACTTCCTGGGTCTAAACAGCCATGTTATTGACTACAGTGAGATTCTCTTTACTGCTGTGAATAATGCTCTATATTTGTGCAAAATTTAAGATGATTAAAAATTAAATGCCAGCCCTAACAGATTTGGCTCAGTGGATAGAGCGTCGGCCTTCGAACTGAGGGGTCCCAGGTTTGATTCCGATCAAGGGCATGTACTTGGTTGCAGGCACATCTTCAATAGGGGGTGTGCAAGAGGCAGCTGATCAATGTTTCTCTCTCTCTCATCGATGTTTCTCTCTATCCCTCTCCCTTCCTCTCTGTAAAAAAAATCAATGAAAACATAAAAGAAAATCAATGCCATTTCACAAAGCAAGTATTCTAAAACATCAAGCTAGTTAACCCAAAATAATGGGATAAGATCTTCCTTAAAGGGAAGGAAGCTGGGGCAAAGCCGGCCAACCAAAGCACATCGAAGCACTGAAGGAAACCATCACTCACCAGAGTGAGACTTCTGGAGCGAGAACTGCTACTGCGACTTTCCAAGCTGCCCCCTCTGCTCAGGTCACTGAGCTGGCAGCTGGGTGACAGGTCAGAGTCCATCTCTGAAGAGTCCGATTTCTGGTGGTTTACTGGCATCCCCACATTAACGTCGGCCAGCGGCTTGATCACAAGAAGCAGGGAAGAGGCCCGTGTTCCATTCTGAAGTCTTGGATCACTTCTAGAGAAACCAAGCACAAGGGGTAGTGAGCCTAAGGAGTGAATGCCTTATCCCCCAACCAAAAAGCTCAGCATGAGTAAGCATCACCTACACTTAGGGCCTCAACCACGAAGGCAAAGATAACTAGGAACCCCCAAGTCAACAGGTTTGGTGAAGCTCGTTTCCAGGTCTCTTTTATACCCTTCTCCATTATCAAGATGTCAGAACTATTTTTAAGGAAAGACAGATGTGCTAAAAATTACTTTGGTGCCGATGATTTGATAGAATAATGTGCTGGCCCCTTCCTCTGCACATAGGCTCTGTTCTTCCATGCTCTTTCACACTCAGACTCAGGTTCCCTCTGTATGCTGTATTAATTCTAGCCTTTTCTGCTTCAAACACCTTTTCCAGCTTCGCAACAGTTCAAAGTATAGCTGAAGTGACAAGAGTTATAAATTACTAATACAAGTTTGGCTGACATCCCCAAGATTCTATACTCTTTGGAAGCCATACAGTATTTTAGTTTCTACATAAAATATTGAGGTCCTATAATTTAATACTATCAGAAAGTTCATGTTTTTACTTTCAGGAAGAAATACACTGAAACTGTCCCCTATAAGGCCCTAAATTTCATACAGTCCACTGACTCTTTTTAAAAAACTTTATGTATTGAGGTAATATTGGTTAATAAAATTATATAGGTATCAGGTATGCAATTCTATAATACTATGATGTATTATAGAATTGCATACCTGATACCTATATAATGTATTTAGGTATCAGGTATTTACCTGATTGTGTATTTACCCCCATAAGTCAAGTTGTGTATTTACCCCCATAAGTCAAGTTTTCCATTGTATTGTGTATTTACCCCCATAAGTCAAGTTTTCCATCACCATTTATCCCCTTCTTCCACCTCCCCCCACCTCCCTATCCTTTGGCAAATGCCATACTGTTTTCTGTGTCCATTAGTTTTTCCTTTCTTTTTATTTTTTAAAAATATATTTTTATTGACTTCAGAGAAGAAGGGAGAGACAGAAACATCAGTGAAGTATTAATAGCAGAGATGAGAGAGAATCATTGATTGGCTGCCTCCTGCACGCCTCCTACTGGGAATTGAGCCCACAATCTGGGCATGTGCCTGTGACCAGGATAGAACCTGGGATCCTTCAGTCTGCAGGCCAACATGCTATCTACTGAGCAAAACCATCTAGGGATTTTCTTTCCTAAAAAAAAAAAAAAAAAAAAAAAGTACTAGTACATTGAAAGTTTAAAACAAAACAAAACAAAACAAAAAACCAATTGATTTTAGAGAGAAGAGGGGGAGAGAAAGAAACATCAGTTGCCTCCTGCACTTACCCCCAGGGATCGAACTGCAACCTGGATATGTGCCTGACTGAATATTGAAGCCACCACCTTTTGGTGTAGAGGATGACACTCCAACCAATTGAGCCACACCAGCCAGTGAGTCTTTCTTCTTTTTTCTTTGCTTAATTCCTTTATCCTTCTCACCCAACCCCCAACAAACCCCAACCCCAGCCAACTGTCTGCAGTCTATATTCATGGGTCTGTCTCCACTTTGTTTGTTAGTTTATTTTGTTCATTAGATTCCACATATAAATGAAATCATATATGGAACTTATCTTTCTCTGACTGGTTTACTTCTTTTAGCATAACACTCTCCAGGCCCATCCATGCTGTCACAAAAGGTAAGATTTCCTTCTTTTTTATGGCTAAATAGTATTCCATTGTGTAAATGTACCATGCATGAAATTAGTGCAACAGTAGTCCTTTCTTCCCCTGCCTGCCGGCACTGGCTTCCCTCTGGCACCCAGGACCCGGGCTTTCCTCGAAGCCCTGGCTTTGTCCGGAAGGTCATCTGGAGAGACGTCTGGTCTAATTAGCGTATTACGCTTTTATTATTATAGATACACTAGAGGCCCAGCATGCAATATCGCGAGGCCCTGCCCACTACCTGCCGCACTCCCAGCTGCACTCACAGCTGCGCTCACAACTGCGCCTGCCTCGCCACGCCCACCTGCCTGCTGCCCCGCCTGCTGGCCGCCAGCCTTGCTGCGATCAGAGCCTGTGGGCCACAGAGGAGGGCCTGAGAGGTGTTCCATACATTTCATGGAGACCGGTCATTTGGTCATTTTGGTTGCAACACCTCTTGGGCTTTTATTATTATGATACTATTGATTTCAGAGAGGAAGGGAGAGGGAGAGAGAGAGAGAAACATCAATGAGAGAGAATCATTGATCAGCTACTTCCTGCATGCCCCCAATTGGGATTGAACCTGCAACCCAGGATTATGCCCCAAATGAGAATCAAACCGTGACCTTCTGGTTCATAGGCCAATGCTCAACCACCCAACCAGCCAGGCTGTACCACAGCTTTTTAATCCAGTCATCTACTGATGGATACTTGCGTTGCTTCCCAATCTTGTCTATTGTAAATAATGCTACAATGAACATAGGGGTGCATATATTTTTTCAGATTAGTGTTTCAGTTTTCTTTGGATATGTTCCACAAGTGGAATTGCTGGTCATAAGGCAGTCCCATTTTTCATTTTCAGAGGTACTGCTTTCCATTTTCAGTGGCTGCACCAGTCTGCATTCCCACCAACAGAGCATAAAGATTCCTTTTTCTCTACTTCCGCACCCAACACTTGCTTGTTGATTTCTTGGTGTTAGCCATTCTGACAGGAGTGAGGTGCTATCTCATTGTGGTCTTAATTTGCATTTTCTGATGAGTAGCACTGCAGAGCATCTTTTCATATGTCTATTGGCCATTTCTATGTCTTCTCTGGTGAAGTGTTTATTCAGGTTATTTGCCCATTTCTTAATTGGATTATTTGGTGGATTTTTGTTTTTAGTGTTGAGTTTATAAGTTCCTTACAATTTTTGGATATTAAATTCTTATCAGATGTATTGCTGAATATATTCTCCCATTCAGGGTGTTGTCTTTTCATCTTTTTTTTTTTATGGTTTCCTTTGCTATGCAAACCTTTAGTTTGATGTAGTTCCATTTGTTTATTTTTTCTTTCCCCCCCCCCCCATTGCCCAAGATATATTAGAAAAATATTGCTATGAGAAATGTCCAAGATTTTACTGCCTATGTTTTCTCTTAGAATTTTTATGGTTCCAAGTATAACATTTAAGTTTTAATCCATTTGAGTTTATTCTTGTGTATGGTGTAGAAGTTGACCTAGTTTCACTTTCTGCCCATATCTTTCCAAGTTTCCCAACACTATTTATTGAATAGTCCTCTGACTCTTTCTTTTAATGGGAGAAAGAAAATACTGCCAGGATGCCTTAGGAATCTCTTTAAGAATACTGAGGGGCACGTGAATTAAAATTACTTTTGGTACAATTTAGTGTGTGTATGTGTGCATATGCGATTGTGCTCATGTGTGTATTAATTTTTAACAAAAATGTGACTAATTATGGAGAATGCTCATTCAGCATTGCATACCGTTAGGAGGACCTTGTCATTTAAGTCCACTGTGAAATCTCAGAAAAATTCTGAAAACATTAGAACAAATTAAAAAAGAAACATGTACGTTGAGGGCACATCCTCAGTAGGGGGTGTGCAAGCGGCAGCTGATCGATGATTCTCTCTCATCGATGTTTCTAACTCTCCATCCCTCTCTCTTCCTCTCTCTATAAAAAAATCAATAAAATATATTTTAAAAAATAAAATAAAGACTTTATATAAGCCACCTACACAGCCAATAATGTGCAACTCTGAAGTTAAAGACATCCTTGGTGAAACTCACCACAGTATTCAGTTTAGTAAGTTAAATGCCTGATATGAATTTAGAACACACACCACACACATAGTGGACATATCAGTAAGAGTGTGCTGGTGACAGTTGCCGGTGACAAAGCAAGGCAAAGGCAGATGTGGACTGTGGACGTCACAGCTACATCCTCTAAACCCGTGATCAGCTTCAGCCCAAAAAAAAGTGGGAGGGCAAATGCAGAGAGGACAAGCCAATGTTTGGGTTCCTTCTGGTCTGTAGATTCTTCCCACGGACTCAGCTCTAATTCATTCATAGATTAAGTAAATCATTGCTCCAAGGAAAGGAGGGGGTTGAGGGACAGTAAGTCTTTCCCCCACACAACAGTGAGATGAAAGGCAGGGAAGTGAGTACCCACTCACCGACACAATGAAGGAACCTGGTGGAACCACCTAGTGGGTGGGAAAGGGTTTGGACCTTGGCTACAAGTGTGCAGTCAGAGCCACACTCTAAGACCCTCACCATGGTAATTTTATCATACCATTTAAGAGCACACCATTTTCTTGTGTTTCTATAATTTAAAAGCTATTCTGACACTATAAAACTATAATGTTGGACTTTTATAAATTATTCTTTTGAAGGACTATGAGAAAGCTTACAAGAATTCTGCAGACGGCAGAGATTATGGGGAGAAATTGAAAACCTTGGTTCAACATCCTTTACAGGCGCAAGATGTCAGTCTTTGAACTCTTCAGGAATGGAGAACTAGGGGCTCCCAAGTCCTAGGGCCCAGGAAATAAAAATACAGAATTCTATGGGAGATACACTGTAGAGGGAGCAGTTTTTTCTGAAAAGGAAGGGCAAGGAAGCAGCCTTCTTCTCTGCTCTGCCCTGGAAAGGGGATGTGATGAGAAAAAGAAGCAGGGGATAAGAAGCAGCTGGGTCTGACAGCAGTGACACAGCTGTGAGTCTATCACCGCTTTAAATATTTAGTCTCAAGGAATAACTCTTTGGTAAAAAGTGGGACTAGGGTCAGACTAAGATATCCCCACAGGTGAAGAAACTGACTTTTACCAGGAGAGCAGAACAAGTATCACTAAGAAGTCATGGCAAACCTAACACAACAGGAGCAGAAATGTGAGCCACACACGCGCATTTTTCTATTTATTCTCTTCTACTTCTTATGTTTACTTTTCA